TTGATCATCTGGGGAACATGTTGAGGGTTTGTATGATACATTGTGAATAAAAAGTTCTTTGAAATATATTGTGCAACTTGTAAAATATTAATCATATCCACGGACTGACCAATATTTTACAAGTTGCACAACATATTAAAAAACTTTTGTTCACATATTGTACTACACAAACCCTCAACATTATCCCCAGAGGATCAATAAAATATTGCGCCATATCAAATATTGTTCAATGAAATTGATCGTCTAGCAGCTGCTAACATATATCTAGCTCTACTGGGTATACAGTTGTTGAATTCTGAATTAGTTTTTAAATGATTAAAGCATAACTGGAAGCTAACGTAACGATGTGTATAAGAATTTTATTAACTTTATTTCAATGTATCAACATTTCTTTAATTGTAGTGTCATGACAATTTTCGATATTTGTGAAGAAAAATACATTAAAAAACGTAGAAATAAAACAATCCTCGAATTGTTGAGAGAAAAGTTTTACCCTCCTTTATTCGCGAGTTGCTTTGAACACACACAGAACCTCGTATAAAATTTTAATGTTTTTTAAGTAATGGGAACGCGAAGTTTTCGAACGATATTACTCGTTTCTTCCTCGTACAAAGAAAAAAAGATATCAAATTTATCCGTCCTTTGTCCACAATGGAAATTTTTGCTCCAACCTTGTCTTGTTCGGCGCTATCCATTTGGACAAAGTAAAGACTGTCTAGCAGTCCGTGCACGGATATATCTATGTAACGCAATTTCTTTCCTCTTTTCCATTTGTAGGGTTTCCTCCTGTTCTTATCAATAACTTCTATTTACTTCATGTACCTTTTAGATCACGTTTTCTATTACGATACTTCACTTTTCTTTCTCGGATCACTCTTATCATTTCTAACATTCCTTTCGTATGTACCAACGAATTCATCTTACGCGCGTCTCGATGGAATACTTATGCGCTATGATATGTATTATAAATTATAATACATGTCTGGGTGTAGTATGATATCGGAAACGCGCGCAAGATAATTATATCTATTAGATAAAAAATAAAAAAAATTTATTACGTCTTCTCAAAAATATGTACCATTTTATTCAGTTTAAAATATGGAAAAAAGACAGCCTTCTATTTATGTTTTGTATTTTAATTACTAAAATTTACATTAAATCTTATTATTTGAATTACAACATACAAAAAATTTGCAAAAATTTTGATTTTAAATACAGAATAGTTTTTTTTCCATGTGCTCTATTGAAATATAATACAAAATAGACTTGTATTGCAAATACTGTATTTTAAATAAAAGTATTTGAAATATACATGCTTAGCTCTGTCTGGAGTGAATATCACTAAAAAGTGAAATCTCGCTTTTAAAGATTGAAAATTCCGTTTTTAAAGATTAAAAATTGAAAACCATTCTTTTCCAAGACCGGATCAATTTTCATTCTTTAAAGTACGTGAAATTCTACTCCAAAGAGTTTAGAGAGTAATCACTACACGAAATTTCCTGAACTGATATTTGCGAGCGTACGTACTTTAAGTCAATGTCTCAATTGTTTGTTGAAACCATACTCTTGTACCATTGTTAGCACATTGCTTATCCTATGTGGTGAGTCACTCTTAGTAAATTTCATATTTGTAATATTAAGTGGTTGCAATTTACATTTCAGAGGATAAGTTCTCTCAATGTCCAACCAAGTAATATTTGAAAATTCGACCTTGGATCTTATTTATCTCTTATGTATCGAATATTATTTTTCATGAGCGTTCTTTTTAAATATTCCTTTTACTTTATAAAACACTATATTTGCGCTCTGATTATTACGCCATACTCATTGTAATTCTATTGCTTTTAAATTAATGTTATTTTACTTAAACTTAATGTAAAATTAAACAACTCATTTTAATTTTTAAGGTCAAAATTCAAGAAATGATATTGTATAACTTAAGAAAAATTGTGAAAAATATTTGTTATAAATAATAATTTTTTAATGTTATTGAAAAAATGTTTGTATTTACTGGATCCGCGAATATATCAGTTAAGAAAGTTTTTGAGCAGTACCAATTATAATTAATTCAATTTTAATTTATTTAAATATTTTTCATTTTTGAAATAATAGTTTTTTTCATATATTTTAAGTTTTTTTAATACGATTTCCATACATATCTAAATTAAAAACCGACGAGAATAAGCCATTTACGGTCAAACTGGATCTTGAATGCTTTTAATATAATTTTCGCGTGAATTTATATACTACGCATGTAGATCCCTAAATGCGCGCCAAAATTTTTTCAGACTTACAACGCAAACTACAATTAAAAGTTACACTGATTTAAATTAAAGATGAAGTAAGGTAAATGTACCAGTTCGTGGGATACGACCCAATTGTTGGACAAATTGTGACAATTTTAAATATTAAGCTTTTGATGATATGTGTTACTCTAAATAAATTTTTAAGCAATTTTTTATATTATTTAGAAATTAAGTATTATATAATTTATTCATATTAAAAATGATACTTTTGTAAAAAAAATTTTGTTTATGGACAATTGTCCATTTATTAGGACATTCACACATATGTGTATATCAATTATTTTGGACATTCCTTAGCGTACCTGTCTACTGCAAACATATTTTGTATATATTACATATAAAACTTTATATAAAACTTCACTAATTACAATTTCGATAAACTTTTTTGAACAATCTTGATTGATAAGTAAGTAAAATGCGATTCTCTTCTATAATAAGAAAATTACTTACTATTTGTCCAATAATTGGGTCATACTTTTGTGAACACAGAGACACGTCACATTTTTTGTCCAATAATTAGGACATTTGAATCATATTATATTTATGCCTAAATACAATTTATAATAAACGCAAATAACATATTTGATAATGAATTTAGTTTCAGAAAACATCCATTCTTACTAAGCATGTGTAATAAACTAAAATTTTAATGTTTCTAAAGTTATAAATGATTTCGTCGTGCAATTCCTTAACTGTCCAATAACCGGTACATTAACCTTAGTTCAATCAGTTAACTATACGAACTTGGAGTCAAGGAAAATAATAATGAGTTTCCTTGACTATTTCATTCGTGTTTGATTTTATTAACTACGTTCTGTTTGCTGATGTACACGGATGTCGATTAATTATACTGTGATATTATCGGTCGACGTGTCATGGCTACATTTGAAGTTTAAGGATAATCGCTTTTCATATTGTGCTCGCTTTCATGTTATGTCGTAAGATATGAGCGACTTCCCGAGTACTATTACGACATTTTCCTTCCGAATTGCGTGAACATCGATATATGAACATGACATCTAATTTTCAATAGATTTCCGCTATCGTATCAAGGAAATCGTATGCCTAGGAAGTCATGCCGCGCAACACCCGCGGGTCAATATATGCGGATACTCGCTTCTATACATGGTGCAATACAATTGTAAAGCAGAAAATGGAGCAGGGATCCCAAGAAGTGGTTTGTGATTCACGATTTTAATGTCTGCTTCATTTGCAAGAGCTTCTTGCACTTCGAATTTTTACGTTCCTAGATTCTGCAAACACATTATATATATATATATATATACTAACGTTCCTAGATTCTGCAAACACATTATATATATATATATATATATATATATATATATATATACTATCTACATTTTTTTACTAGATTATATACGATGGAAGAGCAAATAAATTTTGCTGCGATAACAATTGTTTCGTGTTATAGTAAAATCTACTTTGGTAGGTAAATCAGCAAAATAAATTAATTTTTCTGAGTTTTGTCCGTAGAAACATGTTAACTTGCTAAAATCTATCATCAAAAAATGCGATTTTATTATTACTACGTAATTGTTGTTGACAGATTGTTAACAGAAAAATAAAAATATAGAAAATAGAAAATGGAAAAAGGAGATAGAATAAATTTGTTACTGAAACAAAGCAATTTGCAAGTCTAACGAAGTTATTATTTCTAGTGAATAAAATTAGTTTTTTAACAAATTTTTGACGATAAAGCAATTAATTTGTTGCAACAGTTAAATATTTGTACATACTGCTTCGATTAATTTTTTCTTTGCGATACATTCCCTTTGATCTCATTGTTATTTGCAAAGCTGAAGGAACGACATTACAGAGTCGTCTGTTATGGGATAGACTCCTAATGAGATAGCGAGGTTTCTGCTAAACTAAGCGCATGTGGTTGGTTCCATTACGAACTTGCTATCACTCTTAGAGTAACATTTATTTAGTAGAAAATTCATTATTAGATCATGCATGTAGTTGTTACAAAAAAAGATTTGTGAAATTAAATGTTGTCTATATAACGTTTGTGAATTTAGATGTTATGAAATTAGAAGTTTTATTGAATTGAGTCTTTAAATCCTTGTTTATTATAAAATAAATAAATATTTAGTAATAAATTTTGCATGTAGCGCGATAGAGCAAGTTCGTATTAATTGGAAAATACGAGATATGATGATTTGCTAATTGTAAAAATTAGATTTGCTGATTGTGAAACGGTAAGCCGTGGGACTCAAAATACCTATAGGTACTTGAGATTTCTAAAAATTATTAAGAAGATCAAGTTTTATTTATTTTCTGACTGTTTTATTTTATAAATAATTCCTAATCTTAGGATTATTGCGTTTTCAAATAACAAAGTCATCGAACAATTTATACAATTACTAAATGATTGAATTTTTTTTCTTTATTTTTTTCCTTAATATAGTTTCCTATTATAAAATATTATCTTATATAAGGAAATTGGAAGAATCTCTTCTGTCTCATATAAGGAACACTTTTTTTTAATTAACGAAATCGACAATTTTGGATAAAAACTTACACACAACAAAGTGAAACTATTATCGATTGCTTTTGATGATGTTTGACTATATTTCCCATAAGTTTAACATCAAAATAAAAGTTATGATTACGGATTAAATAAATGACAAGCCTTTAAAAAAAGGTATCTCATGTAAAGCATCCTTCTTCCTTTTTGCTTACAGTTCGAAAATGATGAGCTCGACGCTGATGATTCTTGTGTCCGTAACGACCATGGCAGTCCTCTCTGGGGAAGCTCTCGCCGGGTCGCCCGGTATTCCGTGCAATCCAGGATTTCTTGACGAGCTTCCGCCAAGACTTCGTAAAATCTGCATGGCCTTCGCCAGAATATGGGACGTCAGGGACATGAACGACTTCATCGACGACAGAGGTAATAGTTTATCTAACCGAATCATTCGTTCTATCGTCACACGCCGCGCGAGGCGAACGACACTTTAATTTATTTAACGAATGAAAGGCAAATGTCGTGCGAATACGAACAAACAACACGTACCTCTTATCGCTCTTTTTGTTATTACCGCCTATATTAATTTATATATTATCGCTCGAAAACTTTGTTATTGTATATCAGTTTTAAATGCTGCGTCTGAACATGCTATCTAAAAAGGTAATGTAATCGAGGAATAGAGTCTTTGAAATTTTTTTTACAATCAGATGTACTCATGAAGTTAAAAATGTAAAATTATTAAAAATTTTGTAATAAAGTCACAAAAAGTAATCATTGGAAATCAATTTTCCGATCACTGGAAATCATGTGTAATTATGAAATTTGTAATGAAATCGTGTATAATCACCATGAATTTGATAAAATTAATGTATTATACAATATAAATAATTCTAACACACACACACACATTTGATCGTATTTTTTTTATATATATAGGATTTTAGGGAAGCATTTCGATTTGCGCATCAAACGCATTGTATTATATTAAGCGTATTATATTACACGATTACATCGTAATGTTTCTAATAAAGTAAAAACATTTGTAATTACTAGAAATCCGATAATTGCATTTTCAATCCCAAGAAATCACTGTATAATCAGATGAAATTATAATATTTATTTTATCAAATGACTTTATATGTAATGATTTAGAAAATTATTTGTAATTAAGTAAAAGGATTTACAATCAAATAAAATGAAATCAAATGTAATCATGTAATCTGTAGAACATTTCAGTTAATGGTTATACCATCGACGCTATCTCATGTAATGAGTCTTCGAAACCGAAGGACTAATTACGGCGATGGAGATAATTATGTGCGGTTCGCGTTTGAATTGCTTTCAGAATACCGAGAGAACTTACCGCGGTACGACAGTACCGTCAAGAGGCAAGACGTCGATCATGTTTTCTTGCGCTTTGGAAAACGACGTTAGAACCAGGCATCACACTCCGCTCTCTATTCGCAAGCGATAAACGATTCGAGTTATCCTTAAGTTTCCCATTCGATCGTCCTGTCGTCGAGAGAACTCAGCACGTCTACCGAAAATGTAAAAGAGGAAAGAATAAAAAGACAGAAAAGAGCAAGAGAACCCATTGAAAGGCGATCTCGTTAACATCGTTAATGGTATAATTTTCGTTTTCATTTTTGCTGTATTTAAACAGCATTTAAGAGACCAAATTGATCCCCTCGAGAGCACCCTGAGTCGTTCCTGCGTGAAAGTAAGTATATATCTAGTTAAATATGGATTTTATGCGCGTTAAAGCAATTAGTTTTGCTCTCTTTGTTCACCGAAAGCGAAAAGTTCAAAGGGACTTTAATTAACAATTAAACATATATTATATTACAGCACCTATTAACAGTTAATGTTCCGTTAGCGGAACAAAAATTTCATATTATAAGATAATTTTATTACAAAGATAATTTTGATATAAATAATTTTTCTCCGAGCACTTTAATATCCCGACATGTTGGAGCACTCAAAAACATAATCGTGTAACGCTCGAGAAAAAATAATTAGGTAGTTACGAAAATAAAATCAAATTTCGCGATATTTCATTCTCTTTGTTGATCATACATAACTTTATGAGTAACGTCAAATGTCAGCTGTGCTAAATATCAAATCCTCGAAAACTGAAACTACCCTTAATTCTACATGTTGCCACATCACAAATAAAGAGTGTATCGCAATGATGTACTACAACCATTTAAATCTATGCTGTATCACACTGTGAATGTATCAACTTCTCACTAACTACTCGTCTATTAATTAATCAATTAATTATTAATGCACTACCTTTAACTATTAGATTATAGGCCAGATTAACATTGTCATTTCACGAATGTAAGAACGTAGGAACGTTATGCCGTATCGATTTTCACGCCGACTACTACTGTTTCCAATTAATAACTCTCATCTTCGCGTCGCTTGCGAGATGATGATCCTTCATGTGAAAGAGCGTTGTGCGTCTACGTGTGTCGTTTATTTTACAAATTAAGCATTTTGCGCCCTGTAATGTGATCGCAGTAAATGACAAGGATAATTAGTCCGAACGCAAGATTCAATTCAATTAAACATAAATTACATTTATTTAAATTAATTTCCGAAACGTGTTAGTTAATATCTCAAAACATACATGCTCATTTGCCATTTAATTTAATTCCATTAATCCAAAGATGAATGAGATTTGCTTGATTATATTTCGATGATTGTACAGAACTATTTCACAAATAAAATTATAGAGAGCCAGGTCCGTGGCGTTATTTCAAAGATTCAAATGAATTTTTTCTTGGTAAAGTTGAAAGGAATTACTACTGTATTTGCATTTTTTCGAATTTTGTTTTATTTATCTCATTATTTATCTCATTGAATATATTATCATCATACAGGTGTAAAAATGCCATTAAAATAAATTATTCTTGAGCGATACAAATGAAATTTCTTTGATAGGAAAACATCAAAAAGAAATTAATGCTATATATTTGTAACTTCTATTTTTAGCGACTTATTATAGATCAATTCTGAGTTGTGTACGAGTGTGATATATTTTCAATTTATATTCTCAATTCTTAGGAGTGGAATCTCACTGTAAAGAATAAAAGTTGAGCCAGTCTTAAAAAAGACTGGCTCAACTTTTAAATCTTTAAGAATGAGAGTTTACTCTTCAGAGTGACAATTTACTCTACAAGTTTTAGAAAGTAAATATTCGCCTGTCGATGCGTTCGGGACAGCTTTTTTATTCATTACGGAAAAGAACGGGAATACAAAAGAATACAAACGAATGTTGCCCTCCAGTTGTTTCAATAAGTAAACCTTCAAATCAAATACCAGACAACCAACGAAAACGTTATTATCTCTGCATTATCTGTCCCGGCGTGTTGAAACGGCGCATTCAGCTCCGACGCTTTTGTAATCAGTTGATCGCCATTGCAAGATTACCTATCTGACTAATTTCCTGACGGTTTCGCCAACATACGTTGCCGGACCAGAGATCCCTGTCCTAAGAGATCGCATTGTTTCCAACGTCTCTACGTCTTACGTCATCGAATATATATTAGCAGCTCGATATGTTATTATATCATTTATGGAACGGACAAAAATGTAAGATATTGCTGATGCGATATATTCGTGCTAATACATTCATTGCGAAATAATAATATATTTATTATATATAACAGGTAAATACATATATATATATACGCATATAAAGTGATTCTCTCAGAATGCTTTGTCGTTTATTGTACTACGCAACTGCACCATCCTTCTTCGTCTCTCGCTCTATCTTCCTATTTTGCTCTTTTATCCACGATATTATGAATCTATTGTGTGCGGTATAAACTATTCTTAGCTCTTTAAATTACAATATCAAGCGGTCGAGATTGCACGTGTCTCCATCAGAAAATTGTCTGCTTGCGCAACTGTATTCACCTCGAGTCGATTACGTAAACTTAAGACCATGGTTATAAGAATAATGTATCTGAAGGAATTGATATGAATATGCAGTGGTGTTTTTACGTACGACTCGGAGTAACATCAAAAGTTTTTATCAATATAAAATTACGTCATAAATACAGAATATCGCGATATTCTGCTGAAAAAAAGTTTGAGAAAGGACAAAAAAGAAGAAAGAAGAGGATGTCACGTGCGAGACTAACTTGATCCTGACAACCAAGCTCGATTTCCGGCGACGGATGAATCTTGCGGAAATCGAGTTGCGAGAGTGCGAAAGGAAAGTACGAGGACGGTCGGAGCAGATCATGTCGACGAGAGGAGAATATAGGCGATAAGTTATTAAAGGTAAGTTTTTATATGGTATGATAGGAAATAAAGAGTATTTCATTCCCGAGAATGTACGGTCATCCGACATGGCGTCTGTCCTTTAGCCGCAACATATTGTGTCAAAATATTATCTCGAATTGTATTTTAAAGAAAAGGAAAAAAGTAACATGACTACTACTGAGTGCTTTAGACTGTAGGTGCATTATAGAAGATTGTTTCGAGTGATTTAAGAGTGCGGACACTTTTTTTTGTGTTTTTATTTAGCCAAATGCAAACAGGTAGAATTGTATTTTTGTTTATATATTTTTATCAATACTATACTTGAATTTAGCGATAATTTTGGGACAAGCATTTGATTAGTTGTTCTATTAATTCACCGCCCTAGATGTGCAATGAAATATCTTCTCAGACAGCATACAATATTTACAAAATATTTGTAAATATTTGTAAAATTTATTTTAAATATTTTATAAATTTTGTGTCGTCTTAAATTGCACAGATTATAACATTCATTATAAATATTATGAAATATTTATTTATATTTATCATAAATATTACTTAAAATATATATATTTAGTCATATCTTAATAATATTTCGAATAAAATTATTTTTTATAAAATATGCATAAAAAATTTATATATTATTTTAATAAATAAATATATCTAGTAATTAACATTTATTATAAATATTCTGTGCTATCTGAGTATATGTATTAATTGTTATACCATGCGAGTTATTTCGATATCTCGCACGAAAAGCGTCACGTTGCCACGTGATCGATTACGTTTAACAGAATAAGTTTCTCTGTCACTTTGTACCCAAAGAACCGCTCCAGTTATCCTCTTTTCTCTCTTTTCCTCATTTTTTTTCTTTATCGTCTAATACGTTTAACACTCACATCACGTAAGTGGTCTCGACTTGTAAAACGCAAGAAAATATTGCTGCATTTTTACCAGCGCTAATATTTTCTGAGGACTTATCTTGTGTAATGTTTTATTTTTGCTACCCTTCCGTATATTGTCTCACCGCATGTTTATTGTGGATATTTTAAATTTCCGCGTCTCATGCAGGTACCGCTGTCATTGGTCTTATTTTCCACAGACCACATCTTATATAATACAAACGAATGTTCTTGTCTGGCAATTTAGAAAACATTGCGTACGACATCATTCCGGGCGAATGCGTTTTTTCATTAAGTAAATATAAACCAAAAAATTATTTAGTATATTTTCTTGAACTGATATTATAAAAATAATTTTTGCGAGTATATATATATATTAAAGAAAACAAAGCTGTAATAATTTCCTTTTTTGTGTTGAACGCAAAAATATATTTCTCCTACGTGAGAATTCAAGTTTACGAAAACGGGCTCAAAACACGGGTGGATTAATACAATTAAATGCGAGTCGCAAATTGCGCGAAAATAGCGGAAAGTTAACACAGGATATATTTTATCCGAAAAATCCGTGAAAATAAAGGATTTAGGAAATATATTAAGAAAAAGGGCAATTGAATGGAGACATAATACGACATTACGCTCCAATTCAGTACAAATATCCGTAAAATAAATGAGAGAAAAGAACATTCTTAGAGGATAAGGTTGCCGAAATTGCGACTCCTAAATTGCTTTACCTCGACTAGAAATTTAATTATTGTATTTACACACTTTCTTCGGGATTATTTATAAAAGTAATTTATGTTTTAAATGAGGAATTTTAATAAGTCTACAAATGATTTTAATGAAAGTTTTTCATTTCGATTTTGACAATTTTCCAAGAAACATAGCCAGTCAAGAAAAAGTCAAAATGACTTTATTTTGACATTATAAAAGTCAAAATAATAATTTTTGGTTATAACATTAATATTCTCAAATAAAATTATTTTGATTTTTTGTTGACTTTTGTGTGTTGCTTGGCCTATATGGTGTGATTTAGGCAACAAGTTTTTTAATAAATCGTACTATTTGCAGGGTTGAAAAATCCTTACTTAAATTTAAAATAACGCAAACGAATTATGAAAAATATATATAAAAAGTAAAAGATTGTACAGTTTTATTATCCAATAAAAAATTTAAGAACATTCTTTACTATTTTTAAGTTTACAATCTTTATATGAAAAGCGATATAATTTCTGCAATTTTATCCTATCTATACAATAATAGCGTAACTGAAAGAACATTCGAGATTGAGAGTTGACCAAATATCGTCACGAGCGGACTCTGGAGATTAATGTCCTATCGTCGATGTCTTAGCAATTACCCACGTGTTCAGATAGCACAAGAACTTCAATAGATATTTGTTTTCGATCCAGAATATATACATACACATGAATATATTGTATATAGTATATATTCATGGTATTCATATTATACATATATAATGTCTAATATATATGTATATATAATATACACACGTATAAAGGATATACGTGATATATTCATATATATGTATACGGTGTACATTCACTGGCGAACATTGTATGTATGGTATATATCGTATACCATACATCCCCGTACATCCGTGAATGTGTTTCTCATGCAGTGATAGCACAATATATACAATAGTGC